TTTTCCTGGGCCTGTTTTATTACTGTCGCTTTTAACTGCTTGTCTGCTGCCAATCTGCAGCACTTCTGCGGCTTGGTGGTTGTTGTTATTGTTGTTTGCAACATTTTTAAATTGCTGGTCGATTTAACTGTGAGCTTTAAAAGGACAGCCAGAGTTAAGTCCAGCAGCACCTGAGAGACCAGCAGGATTTTGGGTGTGGGAGCTTTCGAGAGTCAGAGCTGCCTTTGTCAGATGCTCTCAAGCGCTTTGACTCTCAAAAGCTCCTGCCCTGAAAACCTTGTGGGTCTCTCTAAGGTGCTCCTGGACTCTAGTCGGGCTCTTCTGTTGCAGACCAACACGGCTCCCCTCTGGATCTTGAAAAGAATGCAAGCCATCTTGAGGAATTCAGTTGTGGGGTGGATTTTAAATATTTTTGCAAACCAAACAGAAACAAGATAGTTTTGACTGACAAATTGCTAACTGCAATAGGACCATTGATTCCTCGGGGGCTGGAGACCAGTAGATGTTTGGCTGGTCAGCAAAGAGGGACGATTTCTTTAAGCACAAGTCTCAAGGTCCTCCAAATAGCTTGCCAGCAAGCCGGTTACGGTGTCCAGCACCTTCCCTCTCCGTTCCTCACTCCTCCCCCTGCCCCCGACTGGGGCGTTGGTGGCTGATCTGCATGAAACATCTGGTCCTTGTGTCGGGTTAGAACAGACAAAAGGAAGTCCTTCTTCACCCAGAGAGTGGTTATAACACATGGGATTCACTGCCACAGGAGGTGGCGGCGGCTACAAGCATGGACAGCTTCAAAAGGGAATTAGATAAGCATATGGAGCAGAGGTCCATCCGTGGCTATTAGCCAGAAGGTATAGATAGGAACCCTCAGTCTGGGGCAAGGGATGCTCTGTCTTCTCGGTGCTTGGGGGGGGGGGAACAGTGGGGGGGCTTCTAGTGTCCTGGCCCCACTGGTGGACCTCCTGATGGCACCTGGTATTTCTGGCCACTGTGTGATACAGAGTGTTGGACTGGATGGGCCACTGGCCTGATCCAGCCTTGGCTTCTCTTATGTTCTTATAGGAAGTCTCAGTCTGGGGCAAATGATGCTCTGTCTTCTTGGGTGTTGGGGGGGCAACAGTGGGAGGGGCTTCTAGTGTCCTCCTGGCCCCACTGCTGGACCTCCTGATGGCGCCTGGTGTTTCTGGCCCCTGTGTGACACAGAGTGTTGGACTGGATGGGCCACCGGCCTGATCCAACACTTATATGTTCTTATATGCCATTGCCCCTTTGTGAAACTGTCGTCTTGAAAGTGCGGATGGTGCCACCACATCCAGTTAAGCATCCTATGGTTTGCTTGTTTGTTTGTGTGCCCTCCTGTCGGACCCAGGGCCAAATATGAAGAAGCTGAGCGCACTCTGCCGGATCCTGAAGGACTCGTCTATCTCCATCAGCCGTACCATTCTCAGCGGTTACACGCCTGGGAATTTCTCGAATGAGTGCAGGAGAATTCTGGAGCAGCTTCAGGAGAGGAGCTTGTTCTCTGTGGCGCGGGACGTGGCAGAACTGGCTGAGCTGCCGCTGGACCCTGTTGTTGTCCAAGAGGTATGCCGGATCCACTCAGTGACACTCGGGGATTCCACCCCCCCCCCTTTATATCTTGGTGGTTCCCTTTCCCCACTAACTGCGGCAGAATCAGTGTCCCAGTGTCCTGCCTTCCCTTCCCTTTTTTTACACACATACACACACGTGTGTGTGTGTGTGTGTGTGTGTAGGTAGCCCAGCAAACGGGCCCAGCCGTCGAAAGACAAGGCACTGGAGGGTTCCTTCAGTTGGCGCATGGCCGCTTAATCTGCACCCCCCATTCCTGTGCTGTCCAGCTTTCCCATGTTCATTTTCGTTATGCCTTAGACGCGTCCGAGAATCGTCATCTCTTTAATCCTTTGCAGATGCTCCAGAATCTGCATCTCTTGAAGCAGGTTGGCCGCTGGCCTCAGAAGCAGACGAGGATTGAATTTTGGAAGAAGTGCCATGAGACCTTTGTGAGGAATTCCGTTTCGAATCAGACAGCCTTTGATTTCTTCTCCGCTCAGGCCGAAGCGGTGTCTGAGCCCGCGGACAGCGAGAGAATGTCCGGTATTCAGGAGAGGCGGCTTCTGCTCACGTTGGCTGGCCACTGGCTGGCCAGCAGTGATCCCGTTCCACTTGAGGAACTGGAGGAGACAGAGAGAAAAATCTGGCTCTGTCACATCGCACAGCATGCCCTGAGCCGGGGTTCCGAGCCAGCCAAGCATCGATTCTCTCACCCGATTTCCATGAGTGGTGAACTTTCCTTTGAAGCTTTGGCCAGAGAGTTCTCTTTTTCCAAGCTGCCTGCCCTGAGCGCCCCCAAGTGCCTGCGCCTCGAGAGCCTGCCTTCCCAGGAAGACGCCTCACGGGCCACCCTTCCCAACGCTGACGTGGAATCGCTGAGGGTTTTGATTGGGGGCCTTCTCGACGAGGGGAGCGTGCACGAAGCCAGCCGGGTGTGCCGGTACTTCAGCTTCTACAGTCGAGACGTGCTGCTGGTCTTGCACTGCAGAGCACTGGCAGCGGGGGAAGCCTTGGGCAGTGGCTGTCACCCCGAGATTCAAGCCATCCTTGCAGCGAGAGAAGAGGAGGAGGAGGAGGAAGGGGACGGGGAGCTTCAGAACAGGCGACTGCAGCCCAGTAAGAAGCGGCCGTTGGGTGTTTCGGTTGGGTGGAGGTTTGGGCTATTCACACATCCCTCTCTTTCTTACTTGGGGGGGGGGGTTGCTTTCTCGATGGGCGGGGAATGACATTTGGTCCTCTTGTGCAGCACTGAGCATGAGACTAGCCTTGTTTATTGCCATTCTCACTTCTGTAGAGTTTTCCATTACTGAGGTCCTATTTCAGATTTGCAAGTAACCAGGGGTCATTTCGTAGAAAAAGAGGTGCAGGACCTCATTAGCACAACTTATTTGCATAGGCCACGCCCCCTGTGAGCCGCTCTGAGACTCCTTTGGGTAGTGAAGGGCAGGGGGGGGTATAAATCCAATATCTTCTTTTTCTTCTTCCTTGGTCTCCTGAGTCTCTTTTTTGGTTCCAGCCTCGAGCCTGGAGTCCTGGTCCTTTGTGGGGGTCCCCGGTTCTGGCGATAAGGTCGTAGGCAGCCTGCAGGCCCTGATGGCCGAGTGCCTGCACGGGCGGAACTACTGCCGGCAGGTCCTCTGCCTCTACGAACTGTCCAAGGTACGTCCCCGTCTGGAGTGGGGAGGGGATGGTGGAGGGGGGGAGTGCCGAGAAGACGTCGGGTTCTCCAGGCGATCGACGGTCACGGAAGGGCTGCCTCTCCCTCCCCTGCTGCTGGTTCTGCAGGAGCTCGCCTGCCCCTTCAGCGAGATCTCCGCCCAGGACGCTGAGAAGCTGCTGCGGGCCATCCTGTCGTCTCAGCAGCCAGACAGGTGCAAAAAGGCGCAGGCGTTCATCACCACCCAGGGCCTGGAGCCGGAGGCCGTGGCGGAGCTGGTGGCCGAGGAGGTCGTGCGGGAGCTGCTGGCCCCCGCACAAGGGGAAGGAGGTGAGTGGGACCGGCCGTGGGGTGTTCACCTCTCTGCAGCTGACAGCTTCTTGGGCAAAATGCAAGACTGTGTTGGCCTTTTTACCACTTTGTTGTGTTCTAACCGTGGGTTCTGTATATCCTGCCCCCGCCCCACAGCCATACCCAAGATCTTTTCATTACCATGACTGTCGCGATCATGGAAGCAATATCAGAGCTGGTACGGTCCAGAGGCTTGGCTAAGGAGAGGAGGCTCAGACCCTGGAGAGAAAGAGAGAGAGTCTTGCCTTGGACCGTGGTGGGGAGGGGGTGTGTGGGCTTGCCTGCCGCTACGGCCTGTTGAAGAGGGTGCTGCCTGTTGTCATGGTCTGTGCTTTTGTGCCAACAGGGCAAAACTCAGTGCTGAATCCGGCCGAGGAGACCCAGGCGTTCTTGCAGCTGGCCAAACTATGCCAGGACTGTACTCTGGTGGGCATGAAGCTTCTGGATAAGATTTCTTCTGTGCCCCACGGGGAGCTCGGCTGCAGTAAGTGCGGAGCAGGAAGACGACGCCTTATGACTCCTCACGAGTCAAAATATGCATCCCCTTTAAAAAAGGGCTGAGTCATGGCGTGATTACGGCTGCCCTGTGTCAGAGTCCCGCAGCGATCAGTCCCCAGCAGCTCCCATTCAAAAGAGTGAAGTTTATTGAGTACAGTAAAGGCAGGTCATCTGTGCATACATTCTGTGTCAGAAGTGATGGCAAGCGTGTGGAATAGGGAGTTATACCTATTTCAAAGGGGTCCCCCCTGATGGACATGGGCCAGTTAGGGAACTAGCAAAAGCCCGCCTAACCCAACGGGTCTACATTCTCAGAGAAAGCAGCAACAAGGTCCCAAGGTCACCAGCTCAGGCTAGCAGATAAGAGGAGCTGGGAAGGAACAAAAGTTAAGATTCCAGTACCGCAACAGGCCCATCCATCCTCTCCCCCCTCCACCAGCCATGGCAGCGGCCGAGCTGACACCGTCCTTCCTTGGACACCAGTCCCATTCGGTCTGCGGAACTTTACTTCTGAGTAGCCGAGGTCAGAGCCAGCCATACAGGCACACCCCCTTGGAAAAGCATCCATTTTTTGTTTTCTCTTGTTGCACCCTCCTCCATTCAGGACGGTGCCCCCGGAATCATAGGGAGGTGTAGCTGGGAAGCCAGAGATGATTTTGTGGCGGAGGGCTTGGCTCAGGGGCCACCTTGGAGATTAACGGCAGTCTCCTTTTCTCTCTAGAGCTCGTTTATAATATGTACATTAGCTTCCCTTGGGGGGGGGGGTGGCCTCTTGCCTGGCTGGGCGTCCTTGGTGCTGTGAATTGGGGGGGGGGCAGGGGCCCTGTAGAGGGAACCCCTGAAGTCACTTAGCCGCGCCAAGCGTCTTGCCTCCTGCAGCTGTTTCCCCCGCAGCTGTTGTTCCCATTTTGCAGGCGGGGGAAATTGAGGCTGACTGTGAGCACCACACAGTCGGTCGCAAGGGAGAGACTTGCACCTTGAAGGCGCTGATGGGGGGTGGGTTCTCCTCTTCCTGAGAGCCAGTTTGGTGTAGTGGTTAGGAGCGCGGACTCTAATCTGGGAGAGCCGGGTTTGAGTCCCCACTCTTCCTCCACATGCAGCTGCTGGCGTGACCTTGGGTCAGTCACAAGTTCTTTCAGAGCTGTTCTCTCAAGGGCAGTTACTCTCGGAGCTCTCTCAGCCCCGCCTACCTCACAGGGTGTCTGTTGTGGGGAGGGGGAGGGACAGGAGATTGTAAACCTCTCCGAGACTCCTTCGGGTAGTGAAGGGCAGCGTATAAACCCAATCTCTTCTTCTTCTTCCTCCTCCTCCTCGTCCTCCGTAGCTGCAGAGCTGCTGATCCTTGCCCACCGCTGCTTCAGCTTGACCTGCCACATGGAAGGGATCACTCGTGTCCTTCAAGCCGCCCGGCTGCTCACAGACGAACATTTGGCACCCAGTGGGAAGTATGGCCTCATGGTATGTAGGTGCTCCAGCCTGTCTGTCCTATAGAAAGCTTTGCTGCGGAGACAAGGACTCTGGGGCAGTGTTGTCTTCTGCAAGGAGCAGGGGAGGAGGTGGTGGAGCTGCGAGGAAGCCCTGGGCCCAGCCTCAGAGTGTGGCTCTGACCCGTTTTGCACCGATGACGTGTAGCGTCTTCTGTTGGGGAAGCAGCACTGTCCACTCGTAGAATCACAGAATGTCAAGAGTGGGAAGGGACCTTGCAGGTCATCTAGTCCAAACACCCCACCCCCCCGCACTCTGCAGTAGCATAGCTGAAAGATAGCCCTACAATACACCCAAAAGAGGGTCGTCCAGCCTCCCCTTGAAAGCGTCCGGCGAAGGAGCCTCCACCCCCTCCCGAGGCAGTCTGTCCCACGGCTCAACCACTCTGATGTGTGCTGCATGAATTAGCAAACGAGTGGAGCGGAGTGTCTTGCTTTCCCCCCCTGGTCTGGCAGTACAGCTGCCTCCTCTTCCGTGGGTGGATTTCTTTGCCTGCCTGTTCCAAAAGCTGGTGCCCTCCTTGTCCCCAGCCATGCCTGTCCCCACCCTTTGCGTCATCAGTCCCTGGCTAACTGCGCTCCCCGGGCAGTGACTCTTCCCCCCCCCCGCCCAGTGTTCTGACCCCCTCCCCAACGCACGCGACACAGTCACTCCGAGAGGTCTTTCCTCCGGAACTGATGCTCAGGCGCTTCTCTCTTCAAAGGTTCGCCTCCTGACTGGAATAGGCAGATACAATGAGATGACCTACATCTTCGACCTGCTGCACGAAAAACATTATTTTGAGGTGCTGATGAGGAAGAAATTGGATCCGGTGGGTACCGAGAATGCCGCCCACCCCTCTCCCCGTACATGGTGCATGTTGAGCGAAAGGACTGGGCTCCAGATGAATATGGGAAAGGTCCTGGTTTTCAGCAAAAAAAGGATGCTGGTGGAACTCCGGACTCCGTCGGATGATCACAAGTGGTCCAAGAGAGGCGGAGTTTGAGATGCTGAAGAGGTGGATGCTGGCTGGTCACCATATCAAGTGACTGAAATTCTGTCCAAAGGCCTTCTCTCGGCCCGTCTCCATTGCAAACCCCAGAACCTCCTCAGCTCAGCTCATCTCCCCTCCCCGTGGCACGTATCGGGGCCGTGTTTCTGGGGTCCCCCCCCCCCCCGTGGCTCTTCTGAGCATTATTCCCCAGCACGGCGCTCTGGCGGTGAGGTGTTTCCCTCAGCACCCCCACCCTCCTCCCTGTCACACCTTCCCATAGGAGTCGCCGAGTCGATTTCAGCTCTGGCAGGGGGTTTGCGATGCTGCTGTCAGAGAGGAAGCCCGGGGGGTGGGGGGGGAATAGGAGTCTGGGGTCGCCGAAAGGCGGGACTGGACTCGAATCCAGGAGAGGTCATTCCTCCTGCCTCCCCCATCCCCTTCTCCCGGAGTGATTCGCAAGAAGACAAGTGTATTGTCTCCTCTGTGGCGGGGGGGGCGAAGAGGGTCACGGGTCCTCACACCAGGGATGGAAAGAGATGTGGCTCTCCGTGAGCCACGGAGCGAGTGCCCCAGTGCTTCATGGGAATCCTCTGAAAGCACTGAGAGATTCCTGTCCTACGGAATGCTTTTCCTGTGTCTTTGTAAGAGAATGCCCTGAGCGGTTGCTTGCGTGAAGGCCCCCCCCCTCCCCCCAGTTGGCCAAGTTCTGCCAGTCCTCCATTCCAAGAGGGACACTCTCTATACTTCCCTGCCTCACACCCACAGTTTGATGTAGTCAAGAGCGGCAGACTCTAATCTGGGAGAACCGGGTTTGATTTCCCACTCCTCCTTCACATACAGCCAGCTGGGTGACCTTGGGCCAGTCACAGTTTTCTCAGAGTTGTTCTCTCAAAAGCAGTTCTCTCAGAGCTCTCTCAGCCCCGCCTACCTCCCAGGGTGTCTGTCTGTTGTGGGGAGGGGAGGGGAAAGGCGATTGTAAGCCGCTCTGAGACTCCTTGAGGTAGAGAAAAGCGGGGTGTGAAAAACCAACTCTTCTCGTCCTTCTCCTCCTCCTCCTCTGCTCTCTGGACAGACCGGGACCCTCAAGACGGCCTTGCTGGACTACATCAAGCGCTGTCGCCCGGGGGACAGCGAGAAGCACAACATGATTGCGCTCTGCTTCAGCATGTGCCGGGAGATCGGGGAGAACCACGAGGCGGCAGCCAATGTGCAGCTGAAGCTCATTGAGTCCCAGCCGTGGGGTGAGCGTTGTCTGCGCCGGGGGGGGCGGGCTGTGGAAGGAGGAGGGCCTCTAGTGATGGGCAGCGGGAGAACTTGCCGGCGTCTGGGTCTCTGGCTGCCCTGCCTCTGCGGAGGACGCCGGCCTGCCGGAGTTTGGGGCCGAGGGGGCTAGACGGTGAAAGAGCCCCTCGCCTCCCCTGCCTGCTGCCTTCCTTCCACCTTGGAGGTGGAGAGTTTTGGAACTGAGGCAGCTTCGGGCGAGGTTAGCAGAAGGCTTGCGGGACGTGAGCGGATGCCCTGCGGGAAAGCAGCTGCCCAGAGAGCAGCCCTTCCCACCCCTGAAGCAGCGGCAAGCGGAGTCTCCCGCCGGCCGCTCTTCTGCCCCTCAGCAGCTTCCCACGTGGGTGGCTGCGGCGCCATCGCGGGGTCTCAAGAGGAAGCCTTTTGCATCGCGTGTCACCTGAGTCTTCTGACTGGAGGAGCCGGGGACTGAGGCTGGGCCCTGCCGCAGGCAGAACTCGCCACCCCCCAACCCCTCCCAGTCCAGCGTTCCATCCTCTGACGACTGCGTGGCTGAAAAACTTGAAAAGCTGAGCGTTCGCAAGGGTTTAGAAGCCAGGTCCCTCATCCAAACCCTCCCTCCCCCTGCCCCATAGGCATAGGTCGCCAAAACTCTTCTCTTCACAGAGGGTTCCATCAGGCAGAGTGAGGAAGGGAGCCAGGTTTGCATTCTCTTGAAGGAGAATTGTCTGTGGGGCATGAGCCAGTCCCTCCCCTCCCCACTGCGCGTCTCCTTTCCTTTGGGGCCTCAGACAGGTGCTGGGGGGGGCTCTTGCCTGGTGGCCTTGCCCCCCCCCCCCCCCCCCCCCC